AGAAATCACATGATTAATTGTGAAACGAAATGATTCCACATTACTCGGATATTTCATCCCAATATTTCTCAACAAAATCTAAAGGATTAGTTATATGAAGAATGCTCGCATTACAAGCGATACCCTAAATGCTAATAAAACCGATCGGGAGCTCTCTGAAACATTCGTTATGAATATTTCATATTCTACCCGACCAGTTAACAAGAGCCGTCAAATGAAACTGGTCCTACAAAGTTAAGATTATAAAGAATATAAGTTTTCTTTATCCCAACGGGTTACAAAAATTGTATGCCAGAGAGCTTTTTGTTTTGATTTATCACTTTTTAGAATTTTTAAATCCTGAGTATAACGCCAAAAACGAAAAATCTTCTAAAAATGTTTATGTTAGTATGAATTCCGTACGCCAAAAATGAATTGTACTTAGACATCTAATTGGAGATTGATGACTTCGCGCTAATTAATCTTTCTGAATATATCCTTTATTCTGTCGAAAGACAATAGAAAATAAAAACCGAGCGTTCTTTAGTCACTTCATGCACCGCAACAACAATCTGTGGGAACAGCAGCCTGGTAGATGATTTTTAAATATTAGTTTGGCTGAGGCAGAGATTCTTGGCATAGACATATCATTTAATACAAACAGAAACACACACACAAAATTACAATAATCAAAGAAATTTTTTTTAAATAAAAATATAATAAGAGATATAAAAAAAAATGTTTTTCCTTTGCCCATTCGGTTTGTTTCAAGCGTGTAATGCGTGTGTGCTGTGGCTGTATTGGCCCTGGCTCAGCATTATGCTGAGGAGCAGAATGTTCCACAGCGCTGGTCATTCTGCCAGAGAGACCACATCAGCATTTATATAGTTTTTTTACATTTAATTATTTAGACAAGACCAATCAATATAAATAAGAAATATTGTTATCGTTAGGTACATATTGGAGGCGGTTCTAGTTTTTTAAAAGAATTTATTACTGTACTGGAAGATGCAGAATAAAATTGTACCACTTACTTAGTTAATAGGTAACCAATTTTCTCTAACTTTTTTTTTCTTTTGTGTCTACTGGCAGCCTTAATGCTTTCTAGTGATCTCTTCCAGGCACCATTGTGAAATGAAAAATTATTAAATTAGATACATTCAAATTCAAATTCAAAATAATTTATTCATTTAGGTAACACAATGTACACTTATGAACGTCAATCAAGAAATATATATTAAATGCTTCTAATTTTACATTTACTGCCAGTTCTCAAATAAAGGGCGTAGAACGGACGAGTAGACCTAGCAATAAACTATCCGCCACTCTTTATTAAGGTAAGGTCAGCAAGAAATGCAAAAAACATAATAAATATAGTTATTTAGATAAAAACTAAAAAAGGACACATGAAAAATAAAAAGTGCACATGAATCTGTTAGTATGAAAGTTAGGGATACAATGTGGAGACCTTAAAGGTCCGTAAGAGACCGAAAAATTTAACCAAAGCTACATTGAAGTGTCAAAAGCCGTCAATCAATTATCCAGTCTTCAAGCTCCCTTTCGCGTTACTTGAATATGTTTTTGCCAGCCCTTCCATACACAGCAGTCACCTAACATCACTTTTCTTCCTCCCTTTATTTCTTAAAGCATCGGCAATACAACACCCTTAAAGCTATTTCCTAATTTGAAAATTTATAAGCTACCATCTTTCTTTCTGACTCAGCCTAAGATTAAATTAACTGTATAATTATTACACAACAAAGGGTCTTGATAAATTGTCGACAAAAAGAACTTGAAGGGAGCATTTTTTATTCAAAATAATTAAAAAGCGACTTTTATTCCAGTTAATGAATGAAGTCCTATAACCATCAGTCCAATTGAAGCCTTTTACTTAGTTACTTAATTGACCAGGAACTGAATCCATCACCTCCAAATCAATGGCATTTTACATCACAGAATATATAAATTTCTTACTTTTTTACCTTTATTACTAAACTACTTACTTACATGAATTCTATAGTAAACAGAAAATGGAGTCTTAAACCTTTGTCATACTGAACTGCTTTTCTTTTAAACCACTTGTTTTAATTTATTAAATTTCATTACGTAGATTAAAATATCCAACTAATTAAGAAGAGACAAAAGCCTCGAAGCTTTTGAGATGTGTTTACCGTAAGCTGCACCCAAAGCGTGACGAATGAAAGTCCTTCAACGAATCGATTCGACGCGAAAGTTTATGCAAACTGTTAAAATACGGAAATTTGGATATGTTGGACACAGATTGTTGCAAATTATAATGATGGGCAAAATTCAAGGCACGATACGGGCTGGTAGAAGGAAGAAGTGGTTGTGGACCGGCGTTACATTCGCCGAGGAGCTTTTTAGACTAGCGCAAGTAATGTAATTTAAGCTGTCGACAGCCAACCGTTAGTAATAAAGTGGCACTTGAAGAAGAAGAGATAAGATCCACGCGATCAAACGGTAAAAAAGGAATTTTTATTCTCAAATTGCGTGTTGTTCCCACGAGAATGTAACTCCTATTTCACCATGCCTCCTGCTGATAGAGGATAAGTCTTTGTTTTTAATTTATTTTATTATTATTAATTACTTAAGATGTCATGTGGAATATGGTGTAATGGTTGCAGCTCCTTACACACATTGTGTAAAACAAAAAACTTGGCGATTAAAATGAGTGGCGGAGAGTTTATTGCCAGTTCTTCTCTTCCGTTCTACGCCTTTGATTCGAGAACTGGCACTAAATGTAAAGTTAGAAGCATTTCATATTCATTTCTTTTTTTGACGTTCATAAGTGTACATTGTGTTACCTATATGATTAAATGATTTTTGACTTTGACTTTTGAATAAAGAGACTGAACATGTCCTTCTTTAAAAAGTTCAAGCACGAGCTAGTCATTAATAGTTTGTATAGTGATTAAGTAACGGAAGCCATATATTAACAAAATGTTTAATTATTTGTAGTTTAGGTTTAAAAGCCCATCCACACGCTTGACAAACAATGGCAAACAGCTAACAGCAAACAGCAAACACGGACGTGTGGATGGGTGTTTGTCGTTGTTTGCCTGTTTGTGTTCGTGTTGGGCAGTGTTCGGCATCGGTGTCGGTTTATCTTGCCAGATCAAAGGATGTTTGGCAAACAGTTTGCTACGTATCCACACGTTTGGCAGCGATCAGTATGCGCGCGAGCTTGCGGGAGGCGGACGTATTTACTTGCTACCCTTTCGTTGGCGCGCAAAGCGTAAAAAAATTCTGATTGGAGCACCTACGATTCTGACATTTTTAAGTAACTTTTAAGTAAATTTAAAAAAAACACGGCAAAGTAAAGCTCAAATAATAGGTCTAAAGCCTTGTACGCTTTATTTTAATCATCCACCATCGTCTTTGCTTTCTTCTTTTTTCCTTTTTTCTTTCTCTTGCTTTAATTTATAATAAAAATATGTCAACCCGAAAGTAATAGCTGCAACAAGCTCGTCGGGCTTGTTGCAGCTATTGCAACGTCGTGGGCGTGTGGATGCCCCATAATGGGGCATCCACACGCTGGCTGTTTGTCACAAACACCGCAAAAAGCAAACGAAGTCCCAAACACCAACCACAATCACCCAACACAAACAGCCATCCACATGCTTGGCGAACGTTCATAACATTCCGAATCGGCAAACATGGCGGACGACGAGCTTGTTGCAGCTATTACTTTCGGGTTGACATATTTTTATTATAAATTAAAGCAAGAGAAAGAAAAAAGGAAAAAAGAAGAAAGCAAAGACGATGGTGGATGATTAAAATAAAGCGTACAAGGCTTTAGACCTATTATTTGAGCTTTACTTTGCCGTGTTTTTTTTAATTTTACTTAAAAGTTACTTAAAAATGTCAGAATCGTAGGTGCTCCAATCAGACATTTTTTACGCTTTGCGCGCCAACGAAAGTGTAGCAAGTAAATACGTCCGCCTCCCGCAAGGTCGCGCGCATACTGATCGCTGCCAAACGTGTGGATACGTAGCAAACTGTTTGCCAAACATCCTTTGATCTGGCAAGATAAACCGACACCGATGCCGAACACTGCCCAACACGAACACAAACAGGCAAACAACGACAAACACCCATCCACACGTCCGTGTTTGCTGTTTGCTGTTAGCTGTTTGCCATTGTTTGTCAAGCGTGTGGATGGGCTTTAATACGTTTTAATTAATCATAGTCGATCTGCGTGTCGCTAACAGAATACACAACAACACAAACAGACTTACGATGTGATTGCTTCATACATAAACTACGTAAAATCGACCGTCAGATTCCAAAACAGATTTAAATTTATAACGGCTGGTAACTTGTGCAAGTTTGTAATACTGCTTTTAAAACAATTGATTTTAATCTTTAATTATTTTCACATTGGTTGATTATTAATTGTTTTTTAAGACTTGTGTTTCACCAATATGGCTCCAAGACTTTTTTAGTTTGTTCTGTAAAATACTTCTAAGCATTACGTTTAGTAGACTTTTGGAATACAATTTTAATGTGCAATAGATGACTTTTGAAATATCAGTTATTTTATCGATAAATATAAATCAACAATCAAGCTGTTGATGTGATATGCCAATTAATTACTCCAGTTAGGGAATATAAAATAATTGAAATTTATCCAGTTCTGCTTATAAAAACAACAATATTTTATATTGATACCCGTTCCGAACCTGTCACAATTTGCTAGTCCCATTGAAAACACTTTATACTTATAAGAATACTAGTGGACCCCACAGACGTTGTCCTGCATGATATTTAAAGCGATTAGGATATTAAGCAAAGTATGAAAGTACCGACTGCAGTGCCATCTGCCGCGCTGATTTGTGAATCTAAACCATTCCCAGATCACACACAAAAAATTTCATCAAAATCGGTCCAGTCGTTTAGGAGGAGTTCAGTCACATACACACGCACACAAGAAATATATATATTAAGATATTTAGATTTTTGATAGAACGTTATAAGAAAATCGGACAACATACAGCGTCATGTGCTATGACGAATTCGGTCAAAGTTCACATAAACCAATTCAAAAGACATTTGTTACAGTGACATTTCATCAAAATTCGCTTAAGGGTTTTCCTGACACGTATACGAGGTTAGGTGAATGACAGATAATGGATGAGCCTCTCGTACGAACATTGAATTTTTAGTTCACCTTTTCAGGGAAAATGACCAACTCTTAGAAGATTGCTTCAACTCCTCGTTTGGTTCTTATGTCAAATATAACTAACTTGTACCACGAAAGAGTAATGCCACCCACATGACGGACAGCGTTTGTACATATTAAGAGCGGCCAACCCGTCTATCTTTTCATACAAACGCTCGTACGTGATTATGGCGTTGTAACAGATATTTATTTGAAAATTTTGAACTAATAGGCATCTTGTGCACTATATCTAGATTTCTATTAAAACGCGAAATCAAAATTTGAAGAAACAAATTCAGTACAAACCTCCAAAAATCAGCCTTTTTGCACAAATTTTATATAAAGTTTAGGCGTTTATGATGTACTCATTAATTGTAGCCGGAAAGAAATATTTGCATAGAAACCTTGCAAATGTAATGGAGTTTCTAAATGTAAAACATTTTTTTCATAATCTTGTAAGGGTTACGAAAAAACACGTATTTCTTGGATTAAGTTTTATGAAATTTCCGCACACTATTTTTCTTTCAATGTTATCGCGTTATCACTTGCTTGTTAGCCATGTGGATGAAACAACAAGCTTTTTGGCCATGCTCGCGTTGCCGTTCGTCGGACGGGGAAGGGCGCTCTTAATGACGTAATTGTGTTTTGACTTAAAAGTTATTATTATATGAATCTATCAGTTAAAATTCCCACTTTATATCTGCCCAATTCTCCAGTATACTTTGTGAATTAAACCATGGTGCATAACCAATGACAAAGTTCACGAACACCTTGATATGAGAATAATCACAGAGGAAATCCGGAGACTGGCAGCTAAATACAAAGAGCGGTTAATCTGTCACCCGAACGAACTTGCTCACCAACTCACCATAGAACAGTATGTGAGACGACTAAAATGTCACCATATTCTAGAGCTAGAAGACCGGCAGTAACTCTAGGCAGTAGGTGAATAGATGCTTCCAATGGGATGGCACTCCACATGACAGCACCACAGCACAGATTCCCTCAAACCCTTGGGCTGATTGCAAATATCGCAGAAACATTTTGTGAATAGTGATTAGTGAATACAGGATATTTTGATATGATTAGCTTTTTTAAGTACCGTCAATAACTACCGAGGAAGTATGGAGCCTAGGCATACTTAGATGTACAATCATCTATTTTCAGGAAAGAGAACAATAAATGTGGAGAAGAAAGAGCGGAGTATTATAAAATTTAAGAAACGACCAATGCTAATACGTGTTAATATGTGTTTATATTTTCTTTTGAAAAGTTAAATTACTACAAATATTTTTCTTTGTTTGAAGTCCCACAATTGGACATGAGACAGACATTATTAGTGCATCATCATTTATGATAATTCGGCTTCGTCCGATTTCTTAACATGGTTTCGTCAGGTTAGCAAAGAATACAAGAATTTGTGCTTCACTTCAACTGCAAGATTAGACGCACTGTTGTGATAGTTAAATAATATTAGTTTATTGATTTGTTTTTTTTATTAATAAATAGCTATATAAGTACATAGAGCCTATACATTACAAATTGTGTAGGAGTTTCAGGATTTCTTTGCGTGAAGTTATTAACGATTGTATCATAATTTAAGTATTGTTTTTCAACTTTTTCATATCGTTGTGTTTAGGGCAGATCCCCATCCTCCTTCTCCAATAGACAACGTAATTTAATAAATATGCTTATATCATCTTTGTGGAATAAATGTTTTATTAATTAGTTTTTCAATGTAACATCCATAATTGAAAGGTCAATCGATAATAGACCCATTCCGCATATTATAATAGTAAAACCTTCCTATAAGTCCAAACAACCTGTGCAGTAATAAAGAGAAAGAACCACACTATCTCATAATTATTTCTTAACTCTAAGTTATTGAGGAATTTCCTCAAATGAATAAACTAAACAGTTCCTGCTAGGATTAAAATTCTACATTTATTTCAATTACTCCGAAAAGCGTTGGCCGAAATTAGGCCCGTTACGCTTAATTAATGCCTCGAATAAGGTCGGTAAAGTTTTTTAAACGCACCCGCGGGTTTCCGAGTTGCTTTAATTTTTTCCAGGTGTAAATTGTGTTTATTGTCTCTTGGAGTCTTGACTTTTGAACGTCGAAATTGCTTGCATAGAGATAACTTTGTTGAAAGTTATATGGGATATCGTAGACGGACGGATAAGTTTCCGACTTCAAGACACTGTCTCATTGTGTAATTAAATTGATTAGAGTGCAAAAAGTTAAATATTTAAATTCAGACTTATTAATTGAATTAACTGCTTAATTGTCTTTTGCAATTAAGTCATCGTAATAAAACTAAATCAATACTTAAATAATAAAGCTTTACATTTTTTTTTGTAAGGTTGAACGTACTGCCTTTTTAATATAAATCTTATAAGAACTAGATGTCCGGTTAGTGTAGGAAATTATACACTCCAATAATAACTTGATTCACTATAATTCACTTCACTGACTGTATAAACTGTATAACTTTAACGTTAAAGAAAGGAATGCCCGTGCGTTTTTTTTTGTTAGGAATCTCACTATTGGCCTTAAGGGCCTTTACAGCTCAGCTCGGGCTATTTTGGCGAGCGTAGCTCGGCTTGAATGGGCGTCTTTTCCGCGGCTAGCGCAAGGGCGTCTCCTGTGAGAGTCGGACCTCGGCTTGGGCCGTCGCGGGGTGGTCAATCGCCTAAACGGCAGGACGGAAGCTCACTGGAGTGAGCGAAGTACGCAGTAAAGGTCCTCGCCTTCTCCGGTGAAGGCGGTTTTTAACCCTAATCTGATTTTGATTATAAAGCCCGCGCGGTCAATAGCCGCACGGGCGGCTATTAATTTGTCATTAGCTATTGTTATTGGATCGTACGGATCCGTTAAAACGTGTGCCCGTGCGCATGTGCCGCAACTTGTTTTCTAATCTATTCCCTACTCCGACTCGACCATCCCACTTCGGACAGATGTTCAAAGTGAATTCGTTAACAATCGAACGAGTCAAATGAGAAACTACGACACATGCACGCTTGCAGCAAGATTCTTAAGAATATGTTTATATTTTTTTATAAAAATGTTTAGAATTTAATTAAATAAATATTAAAAGCTAACAATCTGAACAGATGTTTGTCGGGAATCATACCTGATGACAGGACTGAAGCGGCCTATTGACGTGTTTGAAGGTACGCCTTTCCATGGAATCCCAATTTATTAATCAATAAGCTGCGGAACATCACGCTACTACCATTAATAAAACATGATTCAAAAACAGAAATAAGTCCTTACCGAGAGCTTCCGTTGCGTGTTTAAATGAATTAAATTAAATAAATGAATATCTTAGGAGATGTCATGGATGTTAAAATTAATTCAAAATAATATGCGTCTTAGCACGGCTAGAATTTCAGGTAATATCTCTTTTTTTAATAATAATAAGATTGTAATTGATTGTAAATTAAATTTTGATGCTATCAGACTGAAAATTTTTATATCCTAAACAACATTAGGTTACAATTCGGTCTTACTAATAAAGATTTATGCACATCGTATAAGCCTGTTATAAGAAAAATGTTACTAATAATTCCTGAATTGACAAGTTTGATGAATACGGCTGTTATAACAAGTGTCTGGTTTGTATGAAGACTTGTACAATGCTTATACAACGTAGATGCCTAGTTTAACGGGTGTATAAGACAAAAATGGCGTTATTTGATCTGATTTTTTTATAGGTTCTTGTTAAAGGTTCAAGACGATGCTGCCGATTTACACGGGGTTAGTCAGCAGTCAATCACAAATATATGCTGTGTTTTGGTGTTTGGAAGCAACGATTTAGGTGTCTTCTTCATGGCTTCTCAGTGTCATTAGAAAATGCCAAATTATATATAGTAGCACTGGCAATCCTCCACAATATTGCTATTGATATGAAAGAAGACCTGGATGTTACGTATGATGACACTGAGAATGCTCCAGAAGAACCAACAAGTAAATGTGTATATAATTGTTTTTGTTTATAAAATAAATACAACTTACATTAGAATTATGAGTTGTATCAGAATAATTAAATCATACGTCAAGCAAACACGGCGGGTAGGGTAGGGTAGGGTAGGGTAACAATAAATAAAGGTCGTTTAGTTATTCAACCAATACACATCGATTATTGGTCAAAGAGGTGCGTATGCCCTGTACAAGCTCTATTTACTGAATAACTATCACCTTGTTATAACGCATGTTTAGTGATTTTTTATTAGTAAGACCGTCGTAGTTTGGAGCTAGTAAATAAATCAGTTACGGTACCCTGGCAACCGCCGTGGTTGTTTGACGTTTGATTTTCGTGTTTTCTTGTGTTGTCGTAACCTCAAATTACTAAATGAGTACAGAAATTATTAAGCGCGCTACAGAAGCTGTTTAGGGAGGTATTGGCGGACTACGTCGTCATAATAGAAGACAAATGTACAGACACAAATACTAATAAACGGAAATATCATGCTTGGCAGAAGGTGTTTGAAAGCTTTGTAACAGAGTTAATTAAGTAATTATTAATATTTACTTTATAATGTAGGTATTAAACTAGTTATATTAAAAAAACTATGCTTTCAGGTTCAATAAGCTCAACGTAAGACAACGGGCATTAGTAGAGCTAAAACAACAGTGGCAAATGAGTAAAGTGGATGCCAAAAAAATAATGAGTGAACACCGCATTGCCAAAAACAAAAGTGGTGGCAGCAGACCACCTAGTCCAGATGAAGAAACCATTAACTTGGTAAAACTACTGCCACTGGAGTTTGAGGTGGACCATAACAAATTAGATAGTGATGCATCGCAAATAGTAAGTGCCACTGTTAGTACAGTCTACATGACATCAGTGGATACACACGTCCACTCTAGTCAGTTGCAATAAGGGTGAATTTGCAATGAAAATATATCCAATGTATTATTTCGAATAGCTTATTAAGATAATTATTATTATCCTTTTTTTTAAGGAAATAAAAATACCTACTAACTTGGATTCTAATAATTCTGATACAACTCATAATTCTAATGTAAGTTTTATTATTTTATCAACCAAAACAATTACATACACATTTACTTAATATACTAATAACATTTTATTATTTGCAGCTAATAGCAACTTCAAAACCTCAGACAAAGAGGACTAGAATTCTACATAAAAAGCCGCAAATCTTTCTTGAACTAAACAGTCAAAAAATGCTGTCAAACGCGAAATCAGATCAAATGACGCCGTTTTTGTCTTATACACACCTTAAACTAGGCCTCTGCGTTGTATAAGCATTGTTCAAGTCTTCATACAAACCAGACACTTGTTATTATATATAAATATTACTGAGATCTTCCATATAAAATTATATATTTAATATGGGTAAAGAGCTGTTTTACTAGGCACGTGATTCCCGACAGTGTATGTATCTACAATATCTAGCATTTATTGAAAGGTCAACAAATCGACCAACTTTTCCTTAAACGATGAGAAGAAAAACCAAAACTGAATAATCAGCTTGGACATCCCAATCTTTAATGGAATAGCTAACATTTACCTTTTATCGTTCGAAAGTTTTATCAGATCCGAAACTTTTACGTTCCTGATTATAACTTCTTATAACTCAAAAGAAATGTTTTACTGATTTTAGATTGGAATTTTTTTACTAACGCCAAATGACGGTATACTGTTTTTGTAGCCCAATGATTATGTCTACAACTCTTATCACTAAAGCTTAGATTTCCTAGAAAAACGGTGCCGTTTTCTAACGGCCGTAATGGGTGACGTCACCCATACGTTGTGTATAAATAACATCGGAGTAGGTTTTCTAGAGAACGTTGAGTGTCACCGTAACGTCAAATAGCGGTGCTGTCATTTGCATGACGGCCGTCATAGCTGTGATAGACATTAGTTCAACGTTTTTCGCGTGTAGCGGGTGCCCATATTTAATTAATACAATGAGTGGAAACGTTAAAAAGTAAAGACGGCCGTTATTAACAACCGTAAAATGATGGTTTTTAAAAACCGATTTCCCCTAAATAGAAGAAATACTATTATTTATTTATAATAATATATAACTGTCTCTTGTTTATGTACTAAGTTTTTGTGAGAAAAATGAATAAAGATTATTATTATTATTTATTTTATACACTGCACAACAAAAATGTCATTGGCATTTTGATAAGCCAAATCCCTAAACATTGTATGCAAATCATCCAAATCCGATAGGATTTATAATGACAATATTGGATTTGTATAATTTAACTTTAATTTATCCATTACCACATTATTAAATGAGTTATAGGTGAAATAGGAATAGTAACTAGAAATATAGCTAAATACAAACACCACCTTTGTCCAAAAATGTTTTTTCAACCGTAATAAACAAAGTGGTTCCAGATTTCCAATCCATTAAATAAAATCCTGTGTTAAAATTTTTACTCTCATTTAAAAAGGTGAGTGACTCTTAAAGCACTAACGATGTACCGGTTATTAACCGTGCAGATTTTAATCGAGATTCAATTATAAAAATGGTATACTCCTGTAGACAATTGAGTTACTGTGTCAGTATAAAACATTGTATAAAAACCTTGGTTTCTAAAAAACTCAAACGAATTTAAATTGTTTAATTAAGTAAGCTTATCGCGTACATCTTCAGCGCACCCGTGGCGATGAAGATTGTTTCTATCGATCTGTTTAAGTTGCTAATATTTATTAAAAAGCCTTTGGAAGCAAAATGCTAAATAAAACACTATCCATATATGCGTTGAGACTTGAGTGCACTTTTTGTAGTATAAGTCGCTTGTAAACAACATACATCTTACAAGGGCCGCAGTTCTATACCAAATACACAAAAACTACAGTATACTTTCAGTATAGTTGTCTCAAAAAAAAGAGTGTGTGTACTTATGTACACGCGTTAGAAGTTATACTACTTTGGAACAACATAGTTGAAATCAACAGAAGCAATAATTAAAAATTTTACATACCGACAATTAACCTCAAATCTATAAATTCATTCAAAACAGTTTATTCAAATAAGTTTTATCACTAATATTCACTATATATATATACTATCACCGTCGTATATGAAATTGATTTAATAAATCACCAAAATAATATTTATTTATTCACACTGTTTAATTGTACTGTTACGAAACACGTGTTCTAAATATAAAAATACTAGAATATACAACTTGAACATAGTTATTATCGATTTTCATGACACCTGGCACTAACTTTACGATGTAGAATTTAGGTGTCGGTGTACGCGCACATCGTAAAAATTCACTCTCATTAATTTTTCTCCATCGCGCCAAAAGAAGTATAACTTCAAAAACTTAAATAAATAAATAAAGAAACTCAATATCCGACGCTCCACGTCCTCCTACTCCGACTTCGTGCCTGACTTAACCCGTCGATTGGATCTCAGATGTGCTGGTTTTCAATATTTTCCTTCTGTGTAAGAAATTTGCATACATTACAATTGTACGTTCGGTACGATTATCACTGCTGCTGGAAACATAACCTATTTGCTGTGCATTCGTACTGTCCAGCGTCAACAAGCTATACTCTCGCAGCAATAGTTTTCTCAACTCTTCGTCGGAGAGCGACCTATTTGTGATGCGTATGGGGGGGATTATGATTCAAGGCCATACTAAGATAGGATTAATGGATTTTCTGTGGATTTTGTAAAGTTGGGTTAGTTATCTAATAGTTTTATAATATTTTTTGTTGAAATTTGGCTAAAAATTAATTAATAGAATAATCTATTGAACGTACAGGCTCGAGAGATACACAAAAACATTGGGGGAAGATGCATATTCACTAAAATAAATAATAGTTCCTCATTTAGATTTCAGCCCAATTTCACGGGTTCCTATGGGCTGAGGGTCATATTAGCGACAAAGAACGTCTATTAAGGCTGGGATCCTCCTAACGACACCCATAGTTTATACTTGGATTACACATTGCGGCCTGTCCTTTACGATAGGTATTATCTTAACCTACATACGTTTGACTTTGAATTGGCTAAAGGAAAATTATTATAGAGTTGAAAATTAGTACGATTATTATTTGGTAGTTATTTTTTACAATGTCTTTATATAGCAGAGAAGAAATATATTTTGTTAGATAGTTAGTTTTGTTACGAAAAAAAGTTTGTTAAGTATATTTAATTTGTTATATTTTTTTACATTTATAAATGTAGTTTTATTGAAATCTAACACTTGCTTAACGTTTAATATCTTAGTACCTAGATATTATGCTCGATACCAAACTCCGATAGCAGGTTCATATTAAAAAGAGAACGAATAGAGAAAGAAGACTGACGAAGAGTTAGATCTTCATTACAGTAGATTGTACTGGTTGCTCGGAAGACATTCCCCGTTATCAGCAGATAATAAATTATTGATCTACAAACATGTCCTGACTTGTATAGACTTATGGATGCCAGCTGTGCGGCTGTACCAGTAATAGCCACAGCCAAATAATCCAACGATTCCAAAACAAAGTGCTCAGGGGAATAGTCAACGCTCCCTGGTATATCCGCAATAACGACTTCTATCGGTGGCCACAGTAATAATAAGACTGCTGGAGCCCACGAACATAGGCTCCACCATCACGTGAATGTCGAGGCTATTCAACTTCTTTACACCACGGGCCTAGTGAGAAGACTGAAAAGGACAAAAACTTTTGAGTTAGTGAATTAGTATTAGTGCAGGTTAGTCTTAAGTGCTAAACAGTGGTAAGTGATAGAACACAAGAACAGTGTCTTCCCTTTAATAGAGACTGTAAGTAGTGTTATTGGACACTTTCTTATGTTAAATATCCTTTTTAGTTAATTAGGTTAGACTAAAATTATATATTAGTCTTAAGTTAGGTAAGATCGTAAAGTTCTATGTCTCAATAAAGTGTATTTAAAAAAAACTTGCGTCAACCAAAGTAGTTATCGATTTTTGGTTAAAATTTCCAAAGTAAATTGTAAATATTATAGGTATACGTTGAAGAAAAATTGTCACTCCATCGATATTGGTATTGACATTTTTTATTCGTTAAGTAATGATTACAAACTATGTAACAATTAAATAATAACAAAACAAATCATTTAGATTCCTTCTATTACTTTTATATTCTTAAATAATTTAAGAATCTCAACCCTATACTCTCCCTGACATATATGTTAATATTTAAAGTTTGTATAAATTGTGTATAATGTTGTTCTATTGTATGCCTACATTGTCCTTATCTTGTTATTTCACGAACACCTCTTTTAACAAAGTTTCTCTTACACAAATGGACAAATGAGATAATTCTGATGTTTACATTTTAAGGATACAGTAATTCATATTTAAATAGACAGGTAATTTTTTAAAATAATACAGCGCTACAAGTCGCTCGCTTTTGGATGTTTCATATGCGCTTTTGTGTTTGTTTTCTATATATTTTTCTTAATAAGTAGGCGGTCAGCATTCTGCGTACTTGTAACACACGCTGTCGATTGTTAGATCTTAGACGTAGGCTGGTATCACGAGTAGGGAATGGAATCCAGATCTCGCGAAATCTAGTGGCATTTTTCGAGATCAATCCCGAAGCTTATGTTTAGCTCGTAGGATTAACGAGATTGGTAGTGGTATCAGAAAAGTTTATCTCTTCGATGAACAAGGGTATCTCTGACCGTAGAAAATATGGAACCGCAGCGTTGTTATATTTGAAAATGTTGTTATTATAAATATGACTTAAACCAGTTCAAAGGCAACGAAATTTTCCATTTGCCTAGAAAATATCTATCTTACGAAAAAAAAATAATCTAATCTAAAAAATATGTTGAGTCTGAGAAGGCATTTGCTGCTTCTGGGTTCATAGCGACTGACATAAGATGCTGCTTATCAGAGAGCATTCTC